GGATCTTACTACATAGAATATATTCTTGTATTAAAAAGTATATATAAAATTCATTGTGGTTTTATGACAAAAAATTGAAATGGTTTATCACTTTATCATGCTTTTTTCCTTTGGCTGTGGGTAAAGAATTATTTTGAAATATTTTAACTGTGTATTATTTATTATATGGGAGATAGCAGTTACTTTTAGGTATTGGCTAACACTTTGTCATCTAAGATTTTGTTGACTCTTTCTCTTTGTATTTCCCTCTTTGGAGTCGCTCTTTGGTATTTTTCTATTCAGTCAAGTGGTAGAAGGGCCTTTCCTTTGTCCTATGAAATGTTGTTCAGTTTTTCTCAAGGTAAAAAGCAACTAAAAATCCCAGTATCTCTTCTCTAATTTGTGTTCGTCAGAAATGAGGTATGGTATGGTAAAATCATAAATATGTACGTTTTCTAAGACAGGGCATGTTTTTGAAAGCTGTAGAAATACTGGGGTCAGAGAAGAGAAAAGAATTTGGGTAGACTTAGTTGCTTCTGACCTGGAAGATAGCCCAAGATACCTATTCCTTCCACTCCTTATGAGGTAAGGGAAAGCGTGTTGCAGAGGCCTCTCCGTCATTGTCCTTAAACGTCAAGATAGAAAGCAGGGAGATCTCAGTCAGACTACTCAGATTTGTCAGAGACTTCCAGAAGTAATTCATTCCCCACTGGCCTCCCCGTGCCCTAGCTTCTAATTTCTCAGTAGCAAGAAAAAGCTGGATTGCACTGGGTTACTCCCATCAAGCCCTCTGGTCTATGGGAGGCAGTTGTCTTTGTTCCTGACCAATTTTTGGATGGTTCAGCTGGATATATGAAGTGTTTGCCATGGCAGTACCAGCAGATTTTAGGTTCACACCTCCTGGTGGCTAAGGGTTTCCTCTTTCATTGAATGTATACGAGAATTCAAATAAGGAAGCGTGGTCAGGCAACAATGTAGTATTCACTGTGTTTTGGCTGTGCAACTTCTGTTATTTAAAAAGTGTTATTTTAATAACGTATCTAAATATGATTGTATATTTTTGGACTGTTTATCTGTCTTAGTTTTTGTTTGCATCTTGTAGTTTTGGATGTGTCAGTTGAAAGTGTAATTGTAACTGAATTGTAATCATGATGTGATGTTCGTGAGCCGACTCTGGTGTGTGAAAGAAGCTCCCGTTAACAGACGCCGTGATGATCCAGGGAACAAACAATCAGAGTATTATTACAGATTAGCTTATAGAAGTATCTTTTGTATCTGATTATGAACATGACACCTATGAAACTGTGGCACAGCTTGCACTGTGGAACTATCCTCTCCAGTATTGTTTTAAAATGAAGACTTTTCCTATGAGAAAAGGGTTTATACATACATTATGTGTGTGTGTGTGTGTGTGTATATATATATATATTTTTTTTTTTTAAACGGCATGTTAGATTGATAAAGTCATTTGAGGGAACTGTCAGACTATGAGTTTCTTAAAAGGTTGCATGAACTGTGGGTGTTTTTGTTTTGTTTTTTTTTCCTCCTTCCCCACTCTTGAGACTTAGGGCATTAGAGATTCTGTTGCATTGCTGTGCTATATTTCAGTGCATTAGCTACACAGCTTAGCTGGCATGGTTTTGTTGTTGGCAACAAGGCTATCCAGAGGAGATGAATCATCCAATTTTATAGTCTTGGGCCTTGCAAGATCAAGAACGAAAAGGTATTTTCTTTTTTTTTTTTTCCTGGCAGAGAATTGTAAAACATGAGAAATGTAATGAGTAATTACTGTTCCTAACTATTTCACTTAAATATAGGTTGATATATATATTTAACAACAAATTTTCTGGTATTCATTTCCATTCTTAAACTAACAGAGATATCAATAGGATTCATCCTGTAATTTAAAAAAAAAAAAAATCAGAGAAGCATACACTGACAGATTGTAGTGTGGATATGTGTAGACCTGGTTAGGAATCTTGGTGGAAAGGGGTTTAGCTTTTCCTTTAGATTGGAGGGAGGGAAACCTGATGTGAAGGCATGCAAGACAGTGGAGTCCAGACAACTGAAAAATTAAGTGCTACCTATTTTGGCTACAGAGTGGTTGTACAGATCAGTGGTGGATCAGTAAGGATCCAGTCTGCTTATTGCTAATGGAATTTGGGGTCTTTGAAGTATAGTCCTTGTGATCTCTTGGAAAATGCTGTAGGATAGTTTAGCTTTTAATTAACCCTTGCTCCTGTATCCTGACCCTCAGTTAAGAATATTTGTAGGAAGCACATTTAATAGTGTTGGTGATTATGAATGAAGATAAAGAGGATTCTACCTCAAAATATGTTTTTATTTTTAGGG